TATGCTCGTTTGCTATTAGATTCTCTAAAAAGTCTCTCAAGATTTTATATGGCAGTCTGCTTTAAAATGATAATTGAAGTTTTTATGACCAATGAGAACTCGGAATGATGGATGCTTGTTTGTATTAAGTTTGATTCTAGCTGTTGTTATGGTATCTCGGAATTTCGATCCTAAACTCGAAACTGGAGACTGTATTCTCACAGTTTTGACCTTTGCAGACACAATTTTCGGTATCGAAACCTATTACACCGGGTGAGAATCAAGAACAACCAAGTCCAATATCTGTCTTAGACCCACCCTTTGAAGAGAATGATCTTACAGCACCACCTGTCTCCCCTGTCAAATCTGACAGACACGACGGTATACACCTCGCTTCCATATGTTTTTTTTCATTTTTAATATAATGTATTTTGCGTAACAGTAACATTAAATATTTTCAGGAGTCGAATTGCCACTAAACCACATTAAATCAAACTTGATCGACAAGTCACCGCCCATAGGCTCCATCGCTCGAACCCTATCGTGGGAAGATTCATGCGTGGACACAGCATCGTCGTACGCAGTAGCAAACGAATCATCGTTAATCAATGCCCGAGGCACGGACGAAGAGGAGAGGGAATGGTTTTTCTTCGTCAAAACGTTATTATCTGCCGCCGGTCTACATGGCGAGCTGCAATCCAGCTCGTTCACGGCCAGGTGGCACTCGCCCGGAATCCCATTGGACCCATCGTTGAGAGACAAGTACATCGATCTAAACGACAAGGCGACGAATTATACGCACGAAGCCAAGAGGAGGCAGAAGAGATCTCTGCAGAAGCTTGTTTTCGACTGCGTAAATGCCGTGTTGGTTGAAATTGGTGGAGAGAACGGATTGATAAAATCGAATAGCAATAATAATATTGTGGATGAGGTGTGGGGACGGATGAATGCGTGGATGAATGAGTGTGGGGCCCGCGACAGCAACGACAGCCTGGCGGTGGAGAGGGTGGTGAGGAAGGAGGTGGTGGGGGGGAAGTGGTGGGTTGAGAATTTAAGAATGGAGGTGGATTATTTGGGGAAGGAAATTGAAGTGAAGCTGCTGGAGGAGCTTGTGGAGGAGGCGGTGGTTGAATTGACAGGTAGAGGGTGACAGGTGGCTTTTTTTTTTTTTTAATATTCTTTTAGCAACAGTTTATATGTTGTTGTTTGAGATACTGTTATTATTTATTTTATTTTTGTGTTTTATTATTACACGACAAAATGAATGGTCCACCCCCACCCAGCCACTGTAACTAACTGTTCGGCGGTGCAAATTGCCACTAATATGCATTGTCAGGTAT